TGGCATTGTAAAGCGCTTTGGGTGCCTTGAAAAGCGCTATATAAATCATTATTATTATTATTATTATTAAGAAGACTTTAAATTCAACTTAAAGTTAAAATGTTGGCGATTTTATTTACTGTACTGTTTTGTGGCGGCACTGACACGGACAGAAGTTTGCAGTGAAGAGGAAGATCTGTGGTCTCTCACAAAGATCGATGGAGAGGGAGAGAGCTTATCCTAACCTATCACAAGAGGGTATTCAAACACAACACCCTCTCAAGTATAAAATATCTGCACATGTCAGTAAAGCTGCAGTTAAAGTTACGATGGTGATTGGATTCTGTGTGCCGCTGTAGCCATCTCCTCACACAAAATGGCTTATAAACTCCAAGCTCTAAATTTCTATCCACCTGCTAAAAAAATACGACAGTTCCAACAAGTTACACTACAGATTTTTGTGTATGTTTTCCTAGTATCAACCCGGAGAAGACATTGGAAATAAGACCCATCTTCTTATTATTTGAGGGTGGAATATTTGCTGTAGAGTAAAAATTGTGGGATTGTTTAAAGAATTTTTCTGTATCTCCCATTTTACTGGTTGACTAGTTCACTGTAGCATTATCAATTACTCAACTGGAAGGAATTTGGGAGATTTCAAAAAAAAAATTTAAACAATACATTTATAAAAACTTGGAGAAAAAAAGTAGACAGAGTTATTTTAGCCATTTGATTTGCTGGAAGAACAGTGCCTCTATGACACCCAGTCTGAGAGGATATGGGTATTGAGGAATAACAACAAATAATAAAGAATTTAGATGACGGCAGCATATGTTGAGATGATTCAGTGTTTATAAAATCACATCATTTATAAACCCTTTAACGCTTTAAGCAAAGTCCAACAGTCATTTTCTGAAGCTGTTAATATGTGTCCACATGTCCTGTCTTTCTCTTTAAAGTTTTATTGCTGCTTGGATGTCAAGCTATATCTTTAACAACAGAATCCTGATAAGGATCTCACTTAGGGCACATACACGAAACAACATGTGCACTTCTGTTTCTGTGGTCCTCATTATCGGACTGCAGACATCAAGACGGTTACTTCACCTCTGCATGTCTAGAGGCATCACGTCAGTAAAAGAGGGAAAAGGAAGCTTGAAGTGGAATTCCTGGCTGTACCTGGAAGAACCTTCACTGAGACATCGCCATGGAAGGTGAATATATTTTAACAGCAATTCAGTATTTGGTTGTCTTTGAAAATTGTTTGCAAAAAGGTACAAATTCTATGCATTGTCACAATGTCATTAAAGTTCATCTTAAGGCTTTTGTGTTTTCCTATCATTTAATGTCCTATCATTTAACTCATATGAACTAAATAAGTTATAATAATTCAGGTTTAATTAACAGACCAAATCCTATTTTAGTGTAGCAGTGGTATCTTATGGATTGACGATGGTGGGAAATGAAGGGGTGAGAAACTTCCAAAAATATACCTGTGGGAAAATAAACCCTCATTTATCAATTATCTCTGAGGGGCCAAAATGCCAGGTAACAACAGTTCAGTCAATGATTGTCAGTGGTTTTCTCAGAAAAGGAAAAATCACCTTTAAAAAACACACAAAAGTAACCTTTGATCGGGCCACTACAGCCAGCACTTTCTTCTCCTGTCGCATCCCCAACAGTCAGCAGCAGGTGTATACAGTAGCAGTTGTGTTTGTGTTTCCTAATAAATAGGCTCTAATCCTGATGCATGTGTGTTGTATCTTAATTGTTGACATTTTAAAAGCTTTTCTCTCCCTTTGCAGGAGAGAACATCACAGAATACACCACAATGTATGATTACAGCACTTTTTTTACTGACGATGGAAGCTACACTCCTATCAGCTACAGCGACGTAATGGACTTCATCAGAGTGTTTCTGGCCACTCTCTATAGTTTGGTTTTCATCCTGGGCTTCATAGGTAGGTGCGTCCTCTTGTGTGTATATTATGGGTGTTGGATTGTATTTAAATGTATGAAAGTGTGTGTATGTAAGAGAAAGAGAGATGATGATGTTCTACATGTAACAGTGTGACAAGTACACTTATTGTGTAACTTCTCCCAAAGGTAACGGACTAGTGGTGTGTGTCCTGGTGAAGCATCGCAATCAGAGCAACCTGACAGACATCTGCCTCTTCAACCTGGCTCTGTCTGACCTCCTCTTCGTCTTCACGCTGCCTTTCTACTCTCACTATGCCAGGGTCGGCCAGTGGACTTTTGGAGACTTCATGTGCCGTTTAGTCTCCGGCTCTCACCAGATTGGCTTCTTCAGCAGCATCTTCTTCATGGTTGTCATGACGCTGGACCGCTACATGATCATCTTGCATGCTCACAGGGTTGCACGTTATCGCACAAAGAGGGCAGCCATCATTCTGACCTTGCTCGTTTGGATGCTGAGCTTGTTTGTCTCTCTGCCGGATTTTATCTTCACACAGGAAACAGAAGAGTACCAGAAGTTTGGATGTGACTATCCCGAGGAGAGAAAAATCTGGGCTCATTATAACCTGTTCACCGCAAATGTGCTGGGTCTCGTGATTCCTTTGTTGGTGATGGTAGGTTGCTACTCCAGGATCATTCCCACACTGGTGAGCATGAGGACCTCAAAGAAGCACCGCATCGTCAAGCTGATCATCTGTATAGTGGTTGCATTTTTCTTGCTCTGGGCTCCATATAACATTTCTCGTTTCTTGAAGTTTCTTCAGGAAAAAGGAAAAATCCCACATGATGAAACTTGGGAGAAAAATTTAATGAAATCAATAATAGTGACCCAGGCCTTAGCTTACGCTCACTGCTGCCTGAACCCCATCATATACGCTTTTGTGGGAGAGAAGTTTATGAGACGAGCCTTGCAGCTGCTGAAAAAGTTTGTGCCTGGTTACAGCAGAGATGTGGCAGACAGGAGAAGCACAGTTATGTCCAGATCCACTGAAGTCACCTCCACTTACATCTATGGAGGTCAGTTGTAGCCACAGTACTCTTCAACCGTGTCTGAGCTTCAAGGCCTGTCTGCACACGTTTAGACCATTTGAATGAATATAACCTCTTAGCACTGCCACCTGCTTTACAGAATTTCAAGTCTTTTCTAAACTCTGTGTAATGCTTTTCCTTCGTCTGCTCAGGCCAAATGAAACTTGCTGGTGCTGTAAACTGAACTTGTTGTTCACAGCAGCCTGTAACAGTTTGCTTTCTTCTTATACGTGTTTTTAATGAGCTGTGGAAAAAGTGTTTCATTCAAATGTATCGCATTATGAAGTTAAGGTTTAGAAGCATAATTTCCACATTTCACATCATAATGGAATTTGATATGTTTATGTGGAACAAACTTTCCAGTGTTGCCAGATTTTATGCTCTCACTTTTGTATTTCTGTACATTATTCGGTGTGCTGTTTTTCATTCTAAACATATTATAAAATAAACTCTGCTTTTTCTGATGTTTGTACAAAACCTCATTTATATATTTCAAGCTAATCTCTTTCTAAATTTCAAATATATGCAATTTCTCTTTCTTTTATAATTTCACGATTTCATGATGTATTTGTAAGTACCCTGCAAATGGTGAGATCAAAGTCTTTTATGTACTCATCTCTCATCTTGTTTCTGTGTAACTGTTTTCTTAGGACAATAAATGATACAGCACATCTTTAACTTGAAATGAAAGTCATACACTTGGTCGTTGAGCATTCTTGTCAGATTCCAAAATTACATTTGGTAAGACATGTTAGGTAGTTTCAAATCAATGTATTTATGGTTGCAGCCACCACTAGACACTAGCATGATTTATTTCAGGCATGAACTGTGAGTAAGTTCAAGTAAAGTTGTGCAAACTAAGCTCAGTCATTCCTGATGAGCTGAATTTAGTTTTTAGAAATCAGATTATTAAGAAGTATATTTGAAAGGAATAAAAAGGAAACTCCTCATTTGAATATATTTTTCCCCTTTGTCTTTTCCCGCCTCATGTTAACGCATGAAGGGACATTTCTGAGAAAACCACACCAACACCTCTTTGCAGGTTTAACACAATGCAGAGGAAACAGCAAAACCCAGAGTTCACGTTACCAGAAATGAGCTCCGCTGCAGGATTTGACACAAAAAGCAAGCAATGCATATTGGCAGGATGACATGTAAGCTCGGCGCGCAGCACAAGAACGTACACATTCAGGAGCAGTGATTTTGGCCAAAAGTGTGGTAAGCGTGTTCAAATTTTTACATTTCTAAACATTTAGTTTCAACTTACTGGACTTACTTCAGCTCATTCACCTCCCTTTAACCCACTGTGTAGTTGAGGAATATGCGTGTGTGTGTGTGTGTCAGCGCGTAAACACTGTCACCCACAGGAAGTGAGGGTCGGCAATGGTAACAAGTCAGGTGGTTGTGCATCTGTTTATAGTGAAAGGAAAAATGTTTGACATGCGGTTTGAATAGATCACATCAATTTGATTATGGTCACGCCGGCAGGAAGTTTTGAGATATCTATGGATGTATAACCATTCATCTACAGCCATTCTTTATATTTAGCCTGTACTTGAAACACAGTTTGAATTTGAAAACAGAAGTTAACCTTCTGGGTGGTTTTTACACATAAGCCTCTCTTACATGACTCACTAAATGATGATTCTATCAAAAATGTTCTACTTAAAAGGGCAGGAAAGTCCAGTCCACTCTCTCAATTCCCTGTTTGAACAAATTTTTCCCTTTTGAAGAATTTATCATCACTTTAAAATGTTCATTTGATGAGCAAACTGTTCACTCATCATGCTTGTGGGGAATAGTGTGTCTAATAAAGAGAAGAAGTAAACAACATGCTTCTTTTCTGTTTCTTGAAGACTGGCTTTAAAGACTTCTGATAGCTAAACTATGGAGGAAATTCTTATGTGACTTTCCACAAGAAAAATTAAATCAGGAGCCAAAAGGTGCCATCATAAAGTAAGTAGGCATTCTTTTTACACATACATACATACATATTTATATTTAAAATATTCAGGTGCTTTGGCTTTAAAGTAGAATGAGAACAGACTCAAGTTAATGTTTAGTAAGAAATTCAGTAACTACCACAAATGGCTTGTAGTCATGTTCTGGCATAATATGGCACAAAAAACATAATCTTATAATCATCATAGATGTAAATGTGCCTCTTTAAATTATCTGTGATATCTGTTAGACAGCGGAGTGACTGAAGAGTGCGTGGCACTGGGGAAAGGGAACAAAGAAGGCATTTGAAAACAAAAACTGAATAGAGGAAGTTTTATGTCTATTGGGCATTTCTCTCTATCTGTATTGCCACTTTTTAATCTTCTGATGGGCTGAAGACAAAGGAGGAAAAACACTGGAACACTTCATATGTGTGCATGTATGTCAGAGACTCACCCAAAACAATCCAGAACTGGGTTTGAAACTGAAAACATGATCAGCCAAGTCCAGTGGTTTGGCTGGTGCTTTTTAAAGTACTGAGCTGCACAAAAACACCAGACGAACTACTTTTATTTGATTTCCCAACAAGCTGATTTAACAGATTTGGTATTGTTGGTGCCAATTACATCTATATAGTAACAACGGGCAGCCTCCGTATTGTTATTACTTGTGTACTGTTTACATCATTTAAATAACTTGAGATTAATATATTGACAATAGTTCAGGTAATTTTCTCTTTATGTAAAAGACCTCAGTAGCTTTTAAACGAGACGGTGACATTCTCACCTTTTTGCATGACTGTTGTACTACATTGACCAAATTTCCTTTTCTGTCTCACAGCTGTACCACCATGTCAGATAACGGGACCATTAACGGGACCTACTCAGACATTTATTACTATGATTACAATGATACCTGCAATCCGGATTCAAGTTCGGATTTCATTGGATCCATGGTCTTAACAGTGCTTTGCTATGTGCTGTTTTGTGTTGGCATTCTAGGTATGTTTCTTACTATTTTTCCATACCAATTCTATGTAACACAGCATTTATAAACCAGCCCCTGATAAGGCTTTTTGAATACACAGATATAGCTTGTACGATAGCCCAAGACTCAACAATGTATACTGACGCACAGAACTCATCAATAAAGTTCATGCATGCATCAGACTTTCACATACGTTCTGTTCTAAGATTAATATCTGAATTTATTTCACAGGAAACAGCACAGTCCTGTGGGTCCTCTTGCGACATGTTAAGCTCAGAACTATGACTGATGTATGTCTTCTCAACCTGACTCTGTCTGACCTCTTGGTGGCTATATCACTGCCCCTCTGGGCCTACAGTTCCCAGAACCTCGGCTTATGCAAAATAAAAACAGGAGTTTATCAGGTAGCTATTTTCTTTCTTACTTTCTTTCTCTAAATGGAAAACCTCATGTGTACCATAATAACACATGGAATGCATATTCATTATTGGAACAACTGAAGCACTTCAACTTTCATGATTGACACGTCGATACCGTGCCTTCTTCAGAGCCAAGGCTGTGGTCCACGAGATTTAAAAAGCAGATAATCTGGAGTCTGTTGAATTTGAAATGTTGCAACTATGACTGACGAACTGCAACTTCCTCATGGCTTTGCCATGTCGCTGGCGAAGACAAAGAGATTATTATTCTTAGGCTCATCAAAATCAATAGTTTTAGGTTGTATTGAATCATATGTACTACAAAAAGGAAAGTTTATATATAAACTAAGTAATCAGAATGGGCTCCTTTGTCAAGATGAATTTTTTTTTTTATGTTTTATGTTTTTTTAAATAAGTGAAAGTTTAACCAGTTTACTCACATTAATTACTTCATATTTTTTATGTAACTTCTAAAAGAAGTCAAAAGAAATGATTTGTGTTTTCTGAATGCAAAATTCACAAACAATTACACCTGTTTAGTTGTTCGATGCTCTAAAGCTCAGGTGATGCGTGAAGCAACTGCTGGGTAATGTCAGATTTGTGAAGAACCTCACTGACGCATTTAAAGCCTCATCAAAGGTTTCCTCATCTCATGTCACATCCTGTTCTAATTTTACTTCCTCTCTTCTTCCACCCAACAGTTAGGCTTCTACAGTGGGACCTTGTTCGTGACGTTCATGAGCGTGGACCGCTACCTGGCCATCGTCCATGCCGTGGCAGCCATTCGAGCCCGGACACGTCGCTACGGCATCACAGCCAGCATCATTATTTGGGCGATATCTGTCACTATGGCAACCCCTCGGGTAGTATTTGCCTCCTTGGAGGCTGTTGATAACGCCTCAGAGTGCCAGCCCATCTATCCAGAAGACACAAAGCATTTCTGGAAGTTGCAGCGCAACTTCAGTGAGAACACAGTGGGCCTTTTTCTGTGCCTTCCCATCATGATTTTCTGCTATGTGAAAATCCTCATTGTGCTGTCAAAGTCCAGGAACTCTAATAGGAACAAGGCTGTGAAGCTGATTTTCATCATTGTGTGTGTGTTTATGGTGTGCTGGGTTCCCTATAATGTTACAGTTTTTTTCGAAACACTGGAGGTGTTTGACATAAACCTGGGACCCAACCCCTGTGTGAGTTCAAAAGCCCTCAACACTGCCATGAGCATTGCCGAGATTATCGCGCTGTCCCACTGCTGTGTAAATCCAGTGATCTACGCATTTGTAGGAGAGAAGTTTAGGAAGTCATTGAACAAGGTGATGGCTAAATACCTTGGCTGGAGTTACCAAAGCAGTGGTCCTTACAGCCACAGGGATACCACAGACAAAGAAACCTCCAACACACCTGTAAGATCAGAGTATTAAAAATGGGTCATGTGCTTTGCTGATGGGTGTAACTGTTTCCGCAGCACTGGATTTTTTTTTTTTTTTTGAAACTGAGAGACTACAAAGATCACAAAT